TAAAAAATAAAATATTGTATATATTACTTTTATAATAATAAATATAAACCGGCAACTTCCAAAGTGGAGTGTGCATTACTCTGGGGTACGGTGTTTTAAGGGAATCCATTTCTACATCCTCAAATTTCATATGTAGTCTTTTAAAATTGATATTCTAGATAATACACTTGTAGTGGAGAAATCGAGCTGGTGCTCTTTTTCCATCTCCCCTTCTACAATGGTCCTTTTCGTGCTTTACAAAAGAAAAGCATATCTTTTACCCATCCTGAATCTTACCTGGGTGCACTGCCCTGCAATGTAAAATCCTCAGGTCACCAGAGAGACAATTCCAAACACTGCTGACAATGGTGAACAAATTACTCTAACAAATGAATAGGATCAAATCATTTTGCCACTCAGATGGTTTCCAATTCTTTGCTTCCAACAGAATTGAAGAAAAACCCAGTGTTGCCAGCTGATAAATCATGAAAAATAATTTTGAAGATAAATCATTGTGTAATTGTCCCTATATATCACCAAAGAAATTCTACTAAGACTTGAACGCATTGCTAAAACAAAATGTCCATTTATTTCCTTATTTATATAAAATGAGTTTTCTGTGTGCTAATATAAGCCAAACAAAAAATAGGAAGAGAATTGATGCTGAATCTTGTCTCAGTCTAGCAAAAAGCAATGTTTATCCACGGATACACCCATTAATTTTTTCAAAAATCCGTGTCTCCAATAAACTTTGTTTTATGTTTAATAATTACCTACCAAAATTTGTAATATATTTACAATGTTTTGATCCATTGTATTCTAATGCTAGTTGTCATGGTAACTCAAGCAAGAGCAGATTTTAAAACAACACTTAGAGCTTTATGACCACTGAAACATTTAAAGAGAATTTAAATAGCAGTATATATATATTTTCTTTTGCTGTAGAGAAATATGATAGGATAATCAATAAAATCATTTCAAGTGTAAAAATATATAATTATTGGGACAAAATTCTGCTAGAATGATAGAATGGAATTAAGAACTCAGGGAGAGGCCGGGCTTGGTGGCTCAGCCTGTAATTCTGCACTTTGGGAGGCCGAGGTGAGTGAATTGCCTGAGCCCGTGGGTTTGAGACTCAGCAAGACCTCATCTCTACAATAAATTAAAAAAAAAATTAGCCAGGAGTGGTAGCGTGCGCCTATAGTTCCAGCTACTTGGAAGGCTGAGGCGGAAGTATCGCCGGAGTCCAGCGGGTCGAGGCTGCGGTGGCCGGGAGTGTGCCACTGCATTCCAGTCTGGGCGACAGAATGAGACTCCAACTCAAAAAAAAAAAAAAAAAAAAGGACTCAGAGAGAAAATGTACAATTTTTCAACTATCAAGGAAAAGCTCAATTATGAATTTTTAAAACAGATGATGGTGGCTCACAAATCACTAAGGTATTTAGGTTTCACCGGATTCATGTGAAATAGTGACGTACAGTTTTCTTTTTATATAATACTTGTCAGAAATTGCATTATTTACAGCCAATTCACATTTATGACACAAAATTTTAGATTTCAATGTTAAAATGTGTGAATGAGCACAACGTTTTTCAGAATATTTTTAGGGAGAATTTTTATATAAACCAATAGTTTTATGTAAACATACAAAAAATATATAAGGAATTGTCATTTACTCTTTTGCCACCTTGTGGTTAGAGCTGTATTTAACACCCAGGCTCATCGGCTGCGACAAGGAACTGTCTCTTCTAAGGTCAGCCCCTTCTGCCAGCTCCATGTCAGGTCTTTGTGAGGCAAAGATGGTGATATTTGCCCAGGACTAAATCCAGATCCATCTAAACACTAAGCATCTAAAGATTATGGTGACACCTTCCACATGTGATCTAAGCAAAAGCAACATGCAATCAGGAAATGAATGTAAGGAAGTACAACAAAATTCTGATTTCTCCGATGAGGGCTACTTGAAAAAGAAAATCAAATGTCAAACTGTTTCTGGTATTTTTTATTTTTTGTTTTTGGTGCTTCTTCTCTGCTAGTGACCTAAACCTTCCTTTGTGTCTTCTGGGGAAGGCAGCCCTGATTGTAGTAGCCCTGGGGTAAGTTTGAGTGCTGCAGCTTTTATAACACCTGGCTCCTGATCGGTGCTGAATAAACATTTGTTGAGTGAATGGTGACAGAGCCCTCCGCTTTCAGAACACGTTAACCTGGGCAGAGTCCAGGTGGACCTACCGGCTTCTGCAGGAAGTTGATCAGTAAGCCAACCAGGTTACCATAGCTAGTCCTCAATAGTAGACAGCCCCGGGTAGTATACAGAGATCTTTTTTTTTTTCCGAGTTAGAGTCTCACTCTGTCACCCAGACTGGAGTGCAGTGGCCG